TTGGGGTTGTGAGTGTCCCAATCGGATGGGTATGGATGTCGGATTGCCCAAAGAGGACCCACTAACTTGATTGCATATTAGATTTTGGTGACCCATTTTTTTATGTCATGTCCCTATAACCGTTGAGGCTTAAGCTTTGGTTCATCTCCCCCTTCCTCCATTAATTTGTGTGTATATTATAGAACAAATCATAAAATCTTTAGTATCTTTTTAAGCTATTGAAGTAAATGTTGCCGCTCTGGGTCCTACTACTATGCATATATTATATACATAAATTCATGTACGCGTGGAAGTAAATATTGTTTCCCTCTTCAATTTCTATATAGAATACATACACCAGCATATTTAAGTAAATAAATTATCTCTGCTATAAATGAGCTCGTATGTCATTGTTTGTTCTTTTTTTAATATTTTCCGTGGAAAATAATGAACTTTTGGACAAACCAAATAAAGCCTAGCTGGTTATGAAAACGCAACCACCAGTTTATCAGTGGGAAGAAGAAAATATTAAAATATATACAGATTGAATGACAATCTTAAATGGTTTATTAATTAATCACAATTGATAAATCTTCCTAGTCTGGTGATGAGCATTCATAAAAATGAAATGACGCACACACACACAAGACAGGGGCTGCCTCCTTCGATGAGTGTTATCTTTCTTCATAGATTTGTGTTTGGAGGGTACTATTTCTCTGCACGGTGGAGTTAATAAAAAGGGACAAAGTGGGTGAGTGTCTCTCTCAATGAGCTCTAATAAATCAACCATGAATGTCATGGTTAATGTAATATTGTATCTATAGTGCATGGTTAATGGAAAAGCCTAAGTACGTCTAGCTCATTATGATGGGAATGTCAGCAACAATGTGTCACCTTAACTTCTATGGTTACAAAACCAAACCATATCAATTTCAGATAATTATACACCATTAATTCATCATACTCCTTCCTTATCCTTATCCAATTATTTCATAAACTTTGATGGTGGGAAATCTATTTATGTTGGCTCCTGAATTGTCGCCTCGGCTCCATAGGATGGGTCATTTCTGGCTGAAATCCAGTGTGGAATTTGTATATATGAGAAGGGATCGATGTAATGTAACATGAAATGAATTTCACAAAGTTTGGTGATCAAATCAGTTTGTGTCCAGCAAGAAGGGAACATAATAAAGGCAGGAAGAGGACCCCCTTGTAATTCAATTTTACATCTTTTTGATCAAATCAGATTGTTTTCTTTTAATCAGGACCATAGGCCTAGCCACTACCAACCCATCGAAAATTTATGGCCCTTGGGCTCGAATCGAGGTATTGGACCGCTGAAGTTTCTTCGGTAGGCCATTATCTTGTTGTCCATCTTTTTTAAGGCAGAAGAGGAAGTCCAACATGACCAGAAACTTCTAGGGCTCAGGCAAAACTTCCTCTGTAAGATTTTCCGTTACGGTTTTTTACTTTTATTTACTGTTTCAACTCTGTAGTACCCGGGAAAATTGACAAAACCCTAAAAGAGAAGAGAGATTTTGGGATAATTATTCGAGAAGATCGAGTTACTGACAGCAGTGAATGTTGGTTTGATATTGATATGGAAGATGGGAAGAGTGTCGTAGGTGTAGAGAATGGAAGTTGAGATTGAGAAGAGAAGTGAGTGCAAAACTATGGAGGCTATGATTAAGAAGTTAGAAGAAAAGGTGAAGTCTTTGAAGAGGAGAAAGGGCGGTCCTGACGGAAATAGAAAGCTTCTGGAATTGTGGACTTGACAGGAGAAGAAGAAGAAGATAGGGTGGTTGAACTCATGATTGAGAAACGTGTTTTGGAATGTGAAAAGAAAAAGGCTGAGTCTGAGTTGAGTTTTTGAAGCAAAAGTTGAAGGAAGTGGAGATTAATGTCAGTGGAGCCGTTGAAGATAAACCGTGAATAATTCAGTTTCTGGTAAAAAGATTATGTTTTTTTTTTTAAGTCTTTTGTTTGTTATTTGAGATTAATTGTGTATTATTAAAATTTTATTTATTTTTGTTTTGGTATGATATTCTAAGAGTTTCTTTCTTAGGAATAATTTTTCTCTTGCATTGTGATACCAGTGTCGTTCTATTTGTTGAAATAATTCTAGGCTATGAACTGGGATGTGGGGATAATGAATGAGACAGTTTTTGCTGAATAATCATTAAACTGAATGTTATTTTTTGGGTTGTATGTTAGAAACTCCTTATAATGGACACATTTCTGAGCATGTTACTTGTACTAAAAAAGAAGAGGGAGTTCTTGGGTTGAAATCTCAAGTGGCATGGTAGACGAGTCAAAACATTTGGTATTTGATGAAGGCCAAAGTCCGGCAAGAAGATAGCTCCATCGACACCTAGCGTTGCTACAACTGCTCTCTAGGAATAATGATGTGTGTGAGTGATGAAGAACTGATATGGCCCATGATGGAATAACGTCTGTCGATAATCACGGAAATGGAAATGTCTGCCTTTCAATGATCGCGCATTAGAAGGAATTGTGGGTAGTGAAAAGGAGACTTCAAGGGAAGTGGGAAGATTGCTCTTTTTAAGCGCGCGCTGTGAGGAAAACACAGCTAAATTTGAGGATGATATCCCATTTGTTTCGACTCCTAAAAGAAAACGGGCTTCTAATGTTGTTACTAGTGAACAGAGAGTGATGTGAGAATTATTCCATTTAGTTCAAATCCTAAAAGAAAACGAGCTCTACTGTTGTTACTAGTGATACAGAGAGTGATGATAAGATGATAATATTCCCATCTGAAACTCAGGAGGTGCATCTTCATGAATAATTTCTGATCAAGTTCCTTCTGAAATAAATAGTTGCTCTGCAACTACTACTGCTTCCGGAGCTGACAACATTGCAAATTCCAAAACTCGTGCTAGGCGGCGCCTAGTGTCATTGAGAAAGTGCTTAGAAAAGAGTCGGTAGCAGAATGTTCTTCAAATAAGACCAATGAAACTGAATGTCAACGTGGAATTATCAGCTGAAGTTCTTGAAGAGATACGTCGGAAAGGGATGGATCAGATATGAGGGTGAGAGCTTGAATGGATTTATTGTGGAAAGCTCTGAAGCTCAGATGATGAGGTGCTTCTAGTGAGGCTAAAGATGAATCAGATGACATGAGGACTTTCATGACATTTTATCTAGACTAAAAGGAGCAACTTTTACGAATATGCATGGTGTTACTGTTTATAGCTGAAAATGGGACCAAAATTTCACTCATCAACTCTCTTAAATTGAAAGAATTTTAACTGTTCTCTGTTAGTACTAATTAACTAGATGCTTGCAGTTGCAGAGATTAGCCGATCGAGAAGTAATAACCAAATCTCATACAGTAAATTAAAAAAAAAAAAAAAATCAAATATTATACATTAAATTTACTAAATCTAATGCATAAAGTTGATGAAAGCGTCTTAAATTTAATGGATATATATAGAAGATTTCAGTACAAAGAAACCTAGATGCAACTTTGCAAGCCAAAAAGCATGCTCTTCATGAGTTATTTTCGGACTGCTATTACAATTTATTGCTCGTTGTGTGCTGGACTTTGACATAACATTATGTAAATACGTAGCAGAACTGATTATAAATCACAAAGATACCCTAAGGTAGTCGTTAGGTTTAAATTGAAGGAGGTTCTTCAATTTTGAATGTGATGTTGTCAGAAATTCCTGACCATCGCTTGTGGGTACTACTACTGCTTCAGATTTGTCTAGCCCTTGAGCCAAACTATATTGACATGATCAATAGGACCCACGTATTGATCATCCTGAACTTTTGTTTTTACAATTTCAATTGACATATACACTTAAACGCTAATTTTGTAAAGGAAATTTAAGCGATTAATTGTGCGAAGTCAGGAGGTACAATGTTGGGATTGTGCCTTGAATCCCATATTGTCAGGAAAGAGAATTGCAAGGGGACTCTCCCCTTTAAATAGACTAGTAGATTAGATTTTCAAAGTATCTCAAAAAGTGTAAAATAAAACCAAAAGAATAGTCATTATGGGCCGTTATTGAGGGTGTAATTGAGTTTTTTGGGATAATGTAAGAAGTTTGTAATTTTTCTCTTTTAAAAATTGCATAGTTGTACGCTTTTGCTTAGTGGATTGTTTGAGTAAATAGTAGACGTACACTAAATTGATTGAGCTGAACCACTTTTTATGTTTGGCTTGCTTTATTTTTTTTGTTGCTTGCCATAATTTTGCGTTGAAGTTGTGGGAATCTTTTTCAACAAGTGGTATCAGAGCCCACGGTTCGTGTCAAGCATCTCAAATTTTCTGGAGATATGTCTAAGTTTGAGATTCCTTTATTTGATGGTAAAATTAATTTTATGTTATGGCAAAGTACGATACAAGATCTTTTGGTACAACAAGGTCTTGATCAAGCATTAGAAGAGAGTAAGCCAAAGAAGATGTTTGAGATTGCAATAGAATTTAGAGGAGAGTTGTCAGTACAATTAGATTGACTTTAGCTCCAGAGATAAAGTACAATGTGCTGACCGAGTCTACACCAAAGGGCTTGTGGGAAAAATTAGAGAGTATTTATGCGTCGAAATTGCTGACTAACAGATTGTGTTTGAAGATGGATTTGTATTCTCTGAAGATGTATGAAGGTGTGAGTCTCCATGATCATTTAAATGAATTTAATAGGCTAGTATATCTATTGTTGGCTATTTCTGATGAGTTAAAGGATGAGGAAAATGCACTGATATTGTTGTCGTCTTTGCCTAAATATTATAGACCTTTAGTTTAAACTTTGTTGGTAGACAGATCTACTTTAAAATTAGATGATGTGACTGCCTTGTTGCGTGAGAATGAAAGACTTATACGATCAGATAACTCATCACTTAGAGGAAATCTACTAGTTGCATAAAGTTCTAATCGAGGGAGGACTCAAGAGAGAGGTGATAAATCAAAAGTCAGAGATTACAGTAACAATGACTGTTATTATTGTGGAGAGAATGGACATATCCAACTACACTGCAAGAAATTAAGAGAATATATGCTTGCTTTCAAGAAGGCTCAACAGATGAAGGATTCGAAGGATGATGCTTGGGTTGCTAATAATGAATGTGAATTTTTAGTAATATGTCAAGATGAAACTCAAACTTTAAAGGGTGAAAAAGGTTGGGTCTTAGATTTTGCTGCATCTATGCATGTTTGTAATGATAAAGATTGTTTTGTTGAATTAAAAGAAGATGAAAATTATGGAAATATTATTGTCAGTAATAACGACAAAGTAAAGATTGAAGACATTGGTAGCGTTCGTTTCAAGCTTTACAATGGTGTTGTCAAGAAGCTTTGTCATGTGAGGTATGTGTCGAGTTGTAGTCACAATTTGATTTCTTTGGGTGAGTTGGCTTCTCATGGATATACTTACATTGGTCAAAGAGATGGATGCGAAGTGTATAAGGATGATGTTCTGATTTTGCAAGGCAAAAAAAATGAAAAACAACTACATTTGCTTGATGAAGGTGAGTGTCTTAAGAAATCAAGATATAAAATTGTTCCAGTTCTTGTTGTGAAAGAAAAGAAGACTATCAAATGAGTAAGATTTTCAGATGTTATTGTGATGTTTGGGGATTCAAGTCAAGGGAGGAATTGTTGGGATTGTGCCTTGAATCTCATATTGCCTGGGAAAGGGGAGTTGCAAGGGGACTCTCCCTTTTAAACAGACTAGTAAATTGAGTTTTTAAAGTATCTCAAAAAGTATAAAAATAGACACTAAAAAATAATCATTGTGGGCTGTTATTAAGGGTGTAATTGGACTTTTTGGAATATTACAATTTTTCTCTTCTAAAAATTATACAATTGTAAGTTTTGCTTAGTGGATTGATTGAATAGATAATGAACATAGGCTAAATTGATTAGGCCGAACCACTTTAAAATTCTTGTGTTTTGTTTGCTTTATTTTTTTTATTGCTTGCCATAATTTTGAGTTTGAGTTGTGCGAATCTTTTTCAACATGCAAGAGGTTATTTAATCGATCATTTAAAAGAGAATGATGTGCAAACACAAGTTTATCTGTGGGAAATTTAAATGGCACTGACTCGATGCACAGCAGGTTACATTGTACTGGAAAACCATACATGCAAACTGGTGAGGAAAGACATGGTTGAGGTACGGTAATAATTACGTCAATCTTTTGAGGTTCTTGAATCTGGATGAATGATCAATGTTTGAGATTTAAAGGAAGGGACGTTTGCAATAGAATGACACCTAAATGTAAAAAGTGGTCAGAAACAGCAGTGAAACGAATGTATATATTTATAAGTTTAATTAGTTTCCGGCATGAATTAATGCCGTAGTTTTTATCATCCGGAAAATCTTTATGTTTGCAAAAGGCAAAAGTGGAGAATATTCTTCATAAAATCATCAAAGGCTGCTGCTATTTATGTGCATGTGGTGGCTGCTACTAAAAACTTCATCAGATTAATTTTCTTTAATTTATTGCTATGAAATTTTGTAATCAACACATAAAATATATATTGTAGTGATGGATTGATATTACAGTTTTTCTTTTTTCTTGAAATCTCAAGTGGATTGAGTAATTTCCTGGGATTTGTTTTGAGAATCATGAGATTTATTGATAAACATAGATATGTCTCCTTCTCTAATAACTATTGAAATAGAAGAGTCACAGTCAATTGATGTCCAAGTTGAAAGTAATATTTAGAAAAATCATGTGGTTTGATTGAAACTTTGGCAACTGAAAACCATGCTTTCTATAGTTAGCGATAGCTTTAAAACGACAGCATTCAAAACACAACAAACTGAACATATACGTGAATATATGAATGATGAAAGAGAGAGACAAAAATTAGTAATTCATAATAATAAACACCAGAAACTCAAATTGAAAAATAAATAAATAAATAATAATAATAAATGACGAAGGCAATGACGACCAAGAGTACTCTGCAAAATCTGCAAGTTGTCTGCTTTGAGAGTTCCATATTTTAAAGATGGTGAGCTTTCAATGAGAGCAGACACGGCATCTCCGTGCCTTCGATGATCCTTCTAGTTTTCTACGGACGACTATCAATACACATTACAGAAAATGAAATTGCTCTCTCTTTCTCTCTCTTTGTTGCAGTGCGGCAAGAGTGACAAGGTGAGAGGAGTAATTGCAAGTTTCAGCATGGGAATGCGTTTCATTTAAGTTTAACGGAGTACCAAATTTTTGTTTTATTAAAATTTCAAATGTATCCAAAAGTTTCCTATCAACCATCAATTTTCACATTTACCATTCTCACCAACCTCCTCTCTCTCACTCTTCCTTTGGTTCTTTTCTACTTTAATTCATCATTTACGTTCAGATATCATTGAACACTCTCCCCCCAAACCAATATAATTACTAATAAAGGCTCCATTCATCATTAATTTGCGGTTCTAACTCCTTCAATTAGGGTTTAGTTGGCAAGCATGCAAAAACCCTAATTCAAACCCTTTCATTTCAAGTTCATATATATATATATATATATATATAGTGACCAAATTTTGTTCTTGTCTATACTGAATCGAAGCCATTTCTGTGAACAGTGATGAATTCATATAGATTTTTGGGTGCAGATCTATATAGCTAAGCTATATGTACGTAAAACATAATTTAATAAACGAATCATTTAAAGCCTACTAGGCAATCTATGTGAACTGAATATATATATATATGGGACAAAACTTAAAACAGTTCTCAAGAATTAATAAGCTGGGTCCTGCCACAACTTCATTCACTTCTCCAATCTCTGAAACATCATTTACTATCACCACGAAATGTATGAGCAAGACATTACTGCACTTTTACCCTCATCTCTCTCTTCTTCTTATTCTTCTTCTTCATATAAATATAAATATAAATAAATTTAAATTATATTGCATGGTGTTATTTTCAGACATATTGGGGTTTGTGAGTAGTCCCAATCGGATGGGTATGGATGTCGGATTGCCCAAACGAGGACCCACTAACTTGATTGCATATTAGATTTTGGTGACCCATTTTTTTATGTCATGTCCCTATAACCTTTGAGGCTTAAGCTTTGGTTCATCTCCCCCTTCCCTCCTCCATTAATTTGTGTGTTATATTATAGAACCAAATCATAAAATCTTTTAGTATCTTTTTAAGCTATTGAAGTAAATGTTGCCGCTCTCGGGTCCTACTACTATGCATATATTATATACATAAATTCATGTTTACGCGTGGAAGTAAATATTGTTTCCCTCTTCTAATTTCTATATAGAATACATACACTCAGCATTATTTTAAGTAAATAAAATTATCTCTGCTATAAATGAGCTCGTATTGGTCATTGTTATGTTCTTTTTTTTAATATTTTCCCGTTGGAAAATAATGAACTTTTGGACAAACCAAATAAAAGCCTAGCTGGTTATGAAAACGCAACCACCAGTTTATCAGTGTGGGAAGAAGAAAATATTAAAATATATACAGATTGAATGACATATCTTAAATGGTATATATTAATTAATCACCATTGATAAATCTTCCTAGTCAGGTGATGAGCATTCATAAAAATGAAATGACGCACACACACAAGACAGGGGCTGCCTCCTCTCGATGAGTGTTATCTTTCTTCATAGATTTGTGTTTGGAGGGTACTATTTCTCTGCACGGTGGAGTTAATAAAAAGGGACAAAGTGGGTGAGTGTCTCTCTCAATGAGCTCTAATTAAATCAACCATGAATGTCATGGTTAATGTAATATTGTATCTATAGTGCATGGTTAATGGAAAAGCCTAAGTACGCTCTTAGGACCATTCATTATGATGGGAATGTCAGCAACATATGTGTCACCTTAACTTCTATTGTTTACAAAACCAAACCATATCAATTCTCAGATAATTATACACCATTAATTCATCATACTCTCCTTCCTTTATCCTTCATCCGAATTATTTCATAAACTTTTGATGGTGGGAAATCTATTTATGTTGGCTCCTGAATTTGTCGCCTCGGCTCCCATAGGATGGGTCATGTTCTGGCTGAAATCCAGCTGTGGAATTTGTACATATGAGAAGGGATCGATGTAATGTAACATGAAATGAATTTCACAAAGTTTGGTGATCAAATCAGTTTGTGTCCAGCAAGAAGGGAAACATAATAAAGGCAGGAAGAGGACCCCCTTGTAATTCAATTTTACATCTTTTTGAATTGAAATTGAACGATAATGATGTTTTCTTTTAAATCAAGGACCATAGGCCTAGCCCAATACCAACCCATCGAAAATTTATGGGCCCTTGGGCTCGACTCGAGGTATTGGACCGCTGAAGTTTCTTCGGTAGGCCAATTATCTTGTTGTCCATCTTTTTTAAGGCAGAAGAGGAAGCCCAACATGACCAGAAACTTCTACGGGCTCAGTCAAAACTTCCTCTGTAAGATTTTCCGTTACGGTTTTTTACTTTTATTTACTGTTTCAACTCTGTAGTACCCGGGAAAATTGACAAAACCCTAAAAGAGAAGAGAGGATTTTGGGATAATTATTCGAGAAGATCGAGTTACCTTACAGCAAGTGAATGTTGGTTTGATATTTGATATGGAAGATGGGGAAGAGTGTCGTAGGTGCAGAGAATTGGAAGTTGAGATTGAGAAGAAGATGAGTGAGTGCAAAACTATGGAGGCTATGATTAAGAAGTTAGAAGAAAAGGTGAAGTCTTTGAAGAGGAGAAAGGGCGGTCCTGACGGAAATAGAAAGCTTTCTGGAATTGTGGACTTGACAGGAGAAGAAGAAGAAGATAGGGTGGTTGAACTCATGATTGAGAACAGTGTTTTGGAATGTGAAAAGAAAAAGGCTGAGTCTGAAGTTGAGTTTTTGAAGCAAAAGTTGAAGGAAGTGGAGATCAATGTCAGTGAAGCCGTTGAAGATAAACCAGTGAATAATTCAGTTTCTGGTAAAAAGATTATGTTTTTTTTTTTTTCAAGTCTTTTGTTTGTTATTTGAGATTAATTGTGTATTATTAAAATCTTTATTTTATTTTTGTTTTGGTATGATATTCCTAAGAGTTTCTTTTCTTAGGAATAATTTTTTCTCTTGCATTGTGATACCAGTGTCGTTCTATTTGTTGAAATAATTCTTTAGGCATATGAACTGGGATGTGTGCAATAATGAATGATGACAGTTTGTGCTGAATAATCATTAAACTGAATGTTATTTTTTTGGGTTGTATGTTAGAAACTCCTTATAATGGCACAATTTCTGAGCATGTTACTTGTACTAAAAAAGAAGAGGGAGTTCTTGGGTTGAAATCTCAAGTGGCATCTGGTAGACGAGTCAGAAAACATTTGGTATTTGATGAAGGCCAAAGTCCAGGCAAGAAGATAGCTCCATCGACACCTAGCGTTGCTACAACTGCTTCTCTAGGAATAATTGATGTGTGTGACAGTGATGAAGAACATGATATGGCCCATGATGGAATAACGTCTGTCGATAATCACGGAAATGGAAATGTCTGCCTTTCAACTGATCGCGCATTAGAAGGAATTGTGGGTAGTGAAAAGGAGACTTCTAAGGGAAGTGGGAAGATTGCTCTTTTTAAGCGCTGCTGTGAGGAAAACACAGCTAAATTTGAGGATGATATCCCATTTGTTTCGACTCCTAAAAGAAAACGGGCTTCTAATGTTGTTACTAGTGATACAGAGAGTGATGATGAGAATGATATTCCATTTAGTTCAAATCCTAAAAGAAAACGAGCTTCTACTGTTGTTACTAGTGATACAGAGAGTGATGATAAAGATGATAATATTCCCATCTGTAAACTCAGGAGGATGCATCTTCATGAAATAATTTCTGATCAAGTTCCTTCTGAAATAAATAGTTGCTCTGCAACTACTACTGCTTCCGGAGCTGACAACATTGCAAATTCCAAAACTCGTGCTAGGCGGCGCCTAGTGTCATTGAGAAAGTGCTTAGAAAAGAGTCTGGTAGCAGAATGTTCTTCAAGTAAGACCAATGAAACTGAATGTCAACGTGGAATTCATACAGCTGAAGTTCTTGAAGATGATACGTCGGAAAGGGATGGATCAGATAGTGAGGGTGAGAGCTTGAATGGATTTATTGTGGAAAGCTCTGAAGTTTCAGATGATGAGGATGCTTCTAGTGAGGCTAAAGATGAATCAGATGACAATGAGGACTTTCATGACATTTTATCTAGACTTAAAAGGAGCAAAGGTCGGAAATTGGAGTGGGAGTTTGAAGCAGACATGCTCGCAGCCTTTGGAAAGGATCCTGAACTGTGCATGAAGGCTGTATGTGCTCTTTATCGACAACAGACTAACGAAGAAAAGGCAATCAAGGGATCTTTGGTCTACAATCACAGGGGTTTCAGCAAATTTGATGCAGCCAGGTATGGATTTCCATGTTTCCTAGTCATGGTTAGTTCTTAAAGTAGTTGAACAGCGAATCCGATCCACTCTCATGCATTTAGTCATTACATACTAACATTGTTGTTTATGGTCGGAAAAAATAATTTGGTAATGTGATTTAGGAAAAAATAATTTGGTACTGTATTCGATGAAAATTGGTAATATGATGTAGAATCAACTTTTTGTCACTTCCTCCACATGTGGATTGGAGTCGCAAAAACCCTAGGTTTATGAATTTCCCAGTTTTTAACTCGACAAATGTCACTAGAGTTACTGAGAAAAAGTTTCCCTATCAGTTTTCCCAAATCAAAATGTCTGTCTGAATTAATTGGTTGTTCATTCCATCATTTAACGACCCCCATAAATTCTTTCCTTTGCCTCTGAAAAAGATGTGGTATTGTTTTTTGGAGCATTTATAAATGTAATTTGGTTCGACTCTGAACTGCGAATGTTGGTACTGGCTAGAGTTTTTGCAAAAGGCAAAATCTTCCTCATCCAGCATGCAATTTAAAGCCATCAGTCTAATTATAGGGTCTCTTCCCTGCAGTCATCATAACTTTAACTTACTCAAATTAGTGATTCTATAGAAACCCCCTAGCATGAGGAGAGTGACACTTCTTTGTACCAGGCAATAATTTTCTTGTAATGTTATTATAAGCAAATTGACAAGTCTACGTTCTTGATGTGCAAATGATGAGGAGATGCTATTTCTGATGCAATGTATTTCTATTTAGCTATTTATTTTTTAAGGATATGCCCTTATTGTTTTAGTCTATCCGCTTAGTGGAACCATTATATCTACCTGGGCTTAATTTCTAAAATGTGTTAAATCTCAACACACTGTATAAATCAACTAACCCTGTTACACTTATTCTTTCTGAAATCTCTACTATCTTTCTGATAGGGGCACTACTCTGGCTGAGTTTCTCACTGAGGGAAATGCACAAGAAGATCTGAAAAAATCTGTGAAGCAGTTGGAAGAGTATGACCATAAGGGGGTTGAGATGTGCAGAACGTTTGCCACTCGCTACTCTAAGCAATTGTTTGAAATCTACAAGAACAAAGAGGATCCTCTCTTTTCCCCTTCTTGACTTACCCTGCCACTGACCCAGACTTGAAGATATTACAAATCAGAGAAGTGCTTCTGGAAACCAAGTTGCAGAGAATGGCATTTTGTTATTTTTCCATTCACTGCATAGTATAATATTCGGTTTACTCAGATTTGGCATGTACATTTAATATTATTGTAGAAACACAACTCCATGGTTTATTTGTGTGTATATATGTTCCTATGACCAAAAAAAAATCGGTGCTGTACTTGTGATATTGCTGCCTAATGTTATCAAATGTTATATAAGTAGTTCCCACTTCCCAGTAGTCATCTCAGTGATTTTTTTGGGATGTTTTTTGGTACATTTTCCTGTTAGGGAGCTTGACTATTTGGAGAATTAAGAGCCAAAGATGGTCTCATAAATCCAGGTGGCAGACAAGTGGTTCATCAAATTCTAAAGAGTTCTGCATTTGGTGACCTAACGGTTGGGCAGGTATGGCTTTGGCATCACTTAATATTTAAGAAAGCTCCTTGAATGGCTCAGGGACAATAATCAAAGATTATAATATGTTTTTCCTTAATAATAAATTGCCATCCTAGATTACGTGTACTGAACTTTACCTCTCGTTCTCTTAAGTTATTAATATAAGAAGCTTCCTATCCTAGGCAGCATATGCAAACTCAGAAGATGGAATCAATTTCGTATGAAGTAGCTGGAGGTGTAAAAGGCCACAAAGGGAGCTACAATTCTGGGTTCCAAATGCCACTACACTACCCCAAGTACTGTAAATCAGATTATGAAGCCATGCCGGAATGGCAGCTCAATCGCCTTCTATCAGAATATGGTTTGCCGGTCGTTGGAAGTGTGGAACAGAAGAGGAAATTTGCCATGGGAGCTTTTCTCTGGCCTCAATAGAGTTTACATCCGAGTGAACAAGAAATTGGAGTATCTTGTGGTTCAATTGCATGAATGTTCATTTTGAGCTTTTCAAAGTTATGTTCTGTCCATAAATTTATGGGATTTTGTGTTTGTGAATTGTGATGTTTTTTGAAATTATGAAGCATATTTGCTTGGAAATTAATATTATAAGCCATTATTTAAGTCAATTTATCCATATTATTATTATTATTTTAATATAGTTTTATCCTTTATAAAAATTACTAAATAAGACTCAAAAATATTTTATACACGATTCATTTTAAATAAACCCTTTGCAATTTATTTAAAATTTCTAATCCTCTTCTACATCATAAACCCTAATTTTATTTTTGAAATATCGCAAATAAAATGAATTTGATCAATAATATATATGCATTAGCTTCATTGGATTCATTTTATCATATTTTATTGTTTCTAACTTTCAATTGATTTGCATAAATACATAATTTATAAGTTTGTTATTCTATTTTTTCATTTTTTTTGAAAAACAAAAAAAAAAAAAAAAAGATGTGATTTAATGTGCACAACTATTTTATGCTTGATTGATATGTTAAATGAAGATTAAAAAAAAAAAAACAAAAAGAGGATATATAAAACAAATATCGATAAAGTATGTTTAAAAATTTTATGGGGTAAATATAAAAGTGGGGTTTATTAAGATAAATTATAGAGGGTAATAGCATCACTCAAGTATTTATTGATAAAATTATAAACATATTTTAAATAATTATTTAATAAGTTTTTCACCAGCCATTTACCCAAAAGAGTGTATCTATTTCAACGAAAATACACAGCAAACATATAGAAAATTACAAATAGTTTTAATTAATTAAAAAAAAATATAAGAAAAATAATTTAATATTAATAAAATCCAACATATTTAAGAATGATCATTGACTTTGCAACAAAAATGGAACATTCCATTCTGGCAACAACTAATAGTTGAGCAAACAACCTGTCTAATATCTCTTTTAAAACATACAGCTTGGAATTATAATGAAAACAGATCAATCAAACTCAAAGTAACTTCATTTGCATGCAAATTTAATTAAATAAATCAACTCACGTCGTATAAAACTGGTTGTTTCTCTTGACTCTTCACCACGTTCACCATCACACCACCTTTTGCCTCTTCTAGGGTTTCTATATCTCTTCTCTTCTCTTTTCGATATGTAATTGGTGCAGGCACCTCAATAGACCAAGGAATAGCTTATGTTATGATGCTGGTGGCATTGATTCTCACTTACCTCATTCATTGAAGTGCCTACCCATTCACTGTAGTAGCAACCTCAATTCTCAATAATAATGGTTTCATTTTGATTAGCCTTTACAAAGAGTGCAATTAGGGAGAATTAGCTGTGGTGTGTGTTCATAGATTGCCTTGATTATGCCATTTGTTGTTATTCTTATTCTCCATTAATAATAATCTCCGTTTAATTTTTGTCTAAGTGAGGCTTGCTAGCACCAATCACCATTATTTTTCAGATTTATGAAAAATATAAGTTTGACGACAACTCAATCTCATACCTCATGACTCATCCCCTCTCACATAATTTGCAAAACTATTGGAGATAAATCGAAATTATTCACAATTACAGTATGAATAAATGTATCCCTCACAGGGATTTCAGGAGCTTCTTTTCCTTGAACCCAAAATCCATCCAGACATTTCTGAAAGTTTCTCAAACAACTTCCACATGTTCACCAAATTCCAAACTTGTTTCAAAACCTTACTAGCTAAAGACTCTTCCAATTTACTTTCCCCCCTCCGACAATATAGACGCCGTCTCACCAGTTAAGTGAACCTTCCTCTGTATAGTTCTGGCTTGTAGACACCAAAGTTTGATGAATACAAAAGCCCAAAAGTGAAAGACTTGTAACTAGCGAAACTGAGATTACCTCTCAGCAAAAAGAAAAAATTGGAAAAAACAATTGCTTAGGTAACCACCCAAAGCAAGACAAAATTTTGCTCAAACGAGCTGTACACAGTACATTTCCAGTAACCTGAAAACCAAAATTGTGTTAGACAAAAGGTCCTGTCTCTGCTTCGCAGGCCTACAGGAAAAAGGATCTAACATGATCAGTGCATAATTTTATTTTGTACGTATGATATGCACAGAAATGCTTGTAGACATCTTGTTGATGTTAGGTGTTGCTCCTATGCTGTCACCAAACGTTTGATTCCTCTTAAGACAAGTGTGTGTCCCGGTCCTAATATTAAGCATTATATCTGCTATGTAGAACATACTTCACAACTTCATAGAATGAAACCACAATCCCAACTGAAGGGCCTGCACGGGCAACACGAGGACCAACTCCTGTGAACAAACCCTTCATTCCCGAATCCCTGTTCCAAGAAAAAATTTTAAGGTCACTATTACTGATATTTGCATTTTATAAGTCAACCATAAATTGTAACAGCCAAAGAAACCAATAGATTCGGCACTACCCTTTAAGTAGTAAACAATATGGGAAAAGATTTAGGATGTTTAAGCAAACACCCAAAGAAATTTTTAAATCTGATGAAATGGTAGTTAAAAGTAAAATTTGTAGTTTGGCTTCCTAGGTGCAAATGGGATATTGACAGGACCAAAACACAGCATGGCCACAAACTCAAAGATCATATTCCCAACAAAATACAATCAGAGAACAAAGTTCTTGTGAATAAATACTTCATAGAGAACTTGGTATAGTTCAAATTGAGATCTAAAAGGACATGAAATGCGAAAAATACCTCCAAACGTCAATCAATGTTTGCCGTGTTGTCATCCTCAATGCCCTCACAGGATCTTTCTGAAATTAAGAGAATAGTAACACATTTACTAGATGATATTTACATGAGTTTAAGAAAGCAATATGTCAATCTAAAGTTGTTCATAAAGAACCACAGTTCATCTTTAATATCAATATTATCAATTTACATACAAGGCATTCAATTATTCTCAACAGTCAGAAGGGCATTTCATATATGGTTTATCATAAACAAATAAGCGCCTAAAAGTTATTCCTCATAGAAATTTTCTAACTGATATAACTGATAGCTTGCATCATCCTAGCCCAATCAAGAAAAATGTTAAAAACCTTTCAGAAATACCTCTATTTGCCTTCGGGTTTTTGCAACATCTAGAGGACATGTAGCACCTGCAGCAAGGCTTCCAGCAACAAAACCAGCAGAAAAGTTTGCTCCCAGAACACCGGCTGCGTTAGATTCCTCACCAACCAGAGTAAGAAGTCTTCTCCGGATCTATTCGAAAAGAGAAATTAAATTATGATCAACTAATATGGCAAATGAACGAGAACCTAGTGTATCTTAACAAAATATCAGTACAAAAGAGCAAAGTTTGACAGAACAAGATCTCACAGGTTCAAGGGTAGACCAACAAATTGCTGAGAATGGAACATCACGAGCAAGCTGGGTTCCCATGCCTGTCCAAAGCATGCGGTAAACTTTCACTGTCACAAAAAAGAGTGTCAGTTTGAATGGAAATCCAAGAAACAACAAAATTGTTCATGACAACATGTTAATATGAATTTAGAAGTATCCTCCTAGCTATTCTCTCAAAGCTGAAAGATTTCTGTTTTCTTTTATCAGTCTTTAATGTTTTTTTTCTAGCAACCAAGAAAATCTTTTATTTTAAGATAACAGCTTAAAAATTAATTTACAGTGGTATTGTTAGTACAAACATATATAACCTTATCTAACTTATAAATGTGAAAACAAATTGAGATAGGGAGAATAGGTTGGGTCTTATATGTATAAAAAATTATCGATTAGACTTCATAAAAAAAAAAATAATAATAATAAATACTAAAATATCCAGACTTCAACTTAAGGTAACAGCTTGCATGCTTCCATTTTTAGTATTTGGTTAAAAACTTATAGAAGTTATACACATTCATGTTAGTCCTGGAATCATTCAGTAGTTAATTTGTCACAGTGACACATTTCTTAAATGCTTTACTACTATAGCGAATGAAGTTCACTTCTTTAAGAAGTCTATCTGTTCTAATGCACTAGCCTAACATCTCCAAATTCAAAGACCCAATTGCAGTAAAGTAAAAATGAGCAAAGATTCTAAGATTACCAACTCAATGACAGATAAACCACCATTTCATAATATTTGGGATAATGAGCAAAGCAAAGACCTTGATAGGCTAGTGATTGATTAAGCCAGGTTCAGAATTATAGTAGAGTAGCAAATCAACTTACAGCTGTTTTGAACATTATTTGTGCCCTTAACATGGGAGACAACACCAACTAGGGTCCTCCAGACGCCAGGAGGTTTATTACACATTTGGGTCTCCTTGAATGCCTATTACAAAACAAAGGAAGAAAAATAACAATATAAAAAGTATGAATAGAAAAAAGAAAAAAGAAAAAAGTAATATATGTTCAGGATCATCTCTCCTTGACATGCTTCCCAAAAAATATAGAAAAAAAATTAATAACAAAAATTTGGCATTGATCGTCATATAACCTGCATCCTGGTCCTGGCAAGTTCAATAGGGTAGCAAGTTGTGCAAGCTAATGAGCGTGCCAATGATCCTGAAACCAGAGGGACATATGGTGTTGCAGATGGAGCATTCTGGGTTGTTAGATCCTCTAACCAGTTGCGAAACATGTCATAGCAGGGCAGATAGATCCCAACCTGCACAGAAAACGTGAATGCCCATCAACTAGAGCTCACTCAACAATTATAAAAAACATGCCAAACAACACACTTAAAACTGAAATCGCCATTCCAAACAGATAAACTCACCGTTGGTACAGCCAACGCGAGACCCGCATTTGTGCCTCTCCAGAGCCTTGAAAATCCTTCCTGCAACGTCAAAATGCAATGCGAGCACAAAAATGTTACAATTTCTCCAACAATGCCAGAAAATTATTAGAATCACTTTTGGCACCGAGAAAATCATTAGAACCTGAATCACAAATAAAATCCAGCACAAAAAATCATTTCCACCAACCTGTCTTATAATTTTGTAAAAGACATCAAGGGTGCCCTTGTACTGAAAACAATCCGGAGGACAAATTGAAACAGTACCATGAACTCCAGCACGGGTGCAAGTCGGAGAACACCTTAAATCAGCAAACAACTGGCCAAAATAAAACCAAGATCAATTCAATTCACAAGCACAACAATAATTTTGAACAAATAATAACAATTAAAAGCGAACATTAGTACAATACTCAATCAAACGCACCGTTCTAGGTCCAAAATATGCCATACGACTAATGAGATTACTTAACGGATGCGAATAAGGTACTCCAGCAGCTTGCGCTTGTAATCTCGTCTGAAAACAAATTTAACGAAAGTGATAAATACAGACATTCACCATTAATTAATTTTTTATATTTTAATTTTAAAAAGAATTTGTCATATTACCTTGACCACATCAAGAGGATTAACAATAATCGCCGACAAAAAAGCGGCACCGGCTGCGGAGAAAGCTCTCGCTCCAAACCCTAATTTTACCTCGGATGGTGATGCATTGGTCGTCTGATGAGACTGCGAAGTACTGAATTCAACCTCATCTCTATCAGAAACCGCCGATTCCATCAATGACAAATCACGTCCGTTGATCTCCATAGTTTCCGTTTGCACAGAACTCATCCATGGATTCTGCGTTTTCCCCGCCTCCACCATCCCTACTAAAAACCCTAGCAAAACAATGACTTTGTTTTTTTAATTTTAATTTTCATATATTTTTAAGAGAAGCAAAATATAAATCTATTTCATAATTTTCGAAACAGTTTTTGTTTACTTTTTCCAATTTCCTTGAAAAGCAAGGAAGCGGCTTACCTAAACAAAAGAAAGACAGCGTTTGTAGATTCTAGGAAAGCGACTTTTTAAAAGCAGTTAATTTTGTGGAATTAGCGGAAGATGAAATTATTCTATTTTCACTTGAATTGCAACCACTGGTTAAGTGAGAAGCAGAAGTGAAAATAGGACTGCGCCGCCCCTGAAGACCAGGGTTTTAGAAACAAACAGAGCCTTGTTCTTATATGGTCAGTGATTAATGGCCGTTGGCTTTTCTAGGACTTTCTGTTGAACTTTAGGGGCTCGACATGTGGCGCTATTCACGCTTTGAAATCGATTAACCTGAGCCAACTGGCTGATATTTACCTGAGAAAATTAATTATTATTTTTGTAATTAAATAATTAAATTAATAATAAAGGGAGTGTTTGGCACATTCTTTATAAAAGAAAAATAATACACTTATCAAGAATGCGGACCAAATGACGTGACGTCATCCTGATCGTCAATTAATTATGAATTTTTTTTTAAGAAAACAGGATGGTGCCACGTTATTTGATGTATGAATTTAGTATGCATTCTTCAGTAATTGTAACATTACTTTTTATAAAAAGGATTATTCGAAAGACTTTTAACCTTCATAAGAGAATAAACGACATGTTCCCACTTCCCACCAAGTTTTGGCGAAATTACAAGTTCACGCCTCTTGTTTTATATATTTCATATTTCTATTCTTAAATTAATAAAAAAAATTATTTAGTATAACGTTTAAAGGGTAAAATAATCATTCTAAATCCCAAATTTTATTTGATTGGAATTGCATCCGACCGGATGCGATTTGGTTGGAATCGCATCCGGCTAGGTGCGATTCCGGCACCGAGACCTCACGAAATCCAAACTTTATCTCCATCTCCTCAAACCACATTAAACCTAAATCCAAACTTCATATCTCGAAATCAAAACATCACAGATCCAAAATCTAAAACAATTCAAGAATCTACCTTCGCGACTCCCCTCTTCAGCCAATCCAACCTGATTCTGACGTCGTCGGACACCCGCGACACCACCAAACGTTTTCCCATAACCCACACACCAAAACCCCTTTCATGCCCACCCAAAAACATGAACATGTCGTTTACTCTTCATAAGAATAATTAACAATAATAATGTAATTAATTACCAAAAATGAATGTCCTTTATACGTGGATTTAGTTTTATAGTTGTTGTGCAGTCAATCCAGAGAGGATAATTCTCTATTAGGAGAGAAGATATTTAGAGTGGCTCTAGAAGGAAGATATTCAGATTAACTTAGACTCCAACTAAGATAGCCCAACTTCCTAATTCTACGTATTTAAATCTTATCTCAACTCTATCATGTAAATGTGTGCTATATAAACCCATCATAACTTGTTTTCAAGGGAGCTTAGAAATTGTTCTAAGAAAATCTTCCTAGGAATTATACTATTCTTTGTAAGCTCTCAAAAGCAATAAGATAACAGTGGACGTAGGCTCAAGTTCTAACTTGCCGAACCACTTTAAAAATTGTTTTGTGTTCTTATTTATGATTCTTTCTTTTTTGTACATTGCTGATTTTCATTAAAATCACGTGCACATCCATTTCAGTTTCGACAGGGTCAATCAAAATTCTCTGGTTGGAGCAGATTTTTGTATCAACATTTTAGTGCTAGAATGAGGGTCTGATTCACATTAGCTCTCCATGTTTTTCCAGCAAGTCTCAACTTCTTCAGCAAATCCCACATTCTTTTTCTAGAATCACATTATTAAATGTGAAAATCTAAGTAGGATAAAGTCCAAATCTGGCTAAGTGGTAAACACAAGAATTGTAGGCCATCGAGTTAGCTTTCCGACAGTCTAAGAATCATCCAAATCTTAGGCCTACATCTCAAGCTATCGAGCTCTGAAGCTAGCTCTCTAGCTACCAAGCTATCGAGCTCCCAAGCTAGCTCTCTAGCTCCCAAACTATCAAGCGCTCAAGCTAGCTCCCTAGCTCTTAAGCTATCAAGCTCTCAAGCTAGCTCTCTAGCTCCCAAGCTATCAAGCTAGCTCTCTAGCTCTGCACAACGACGTCTCAAAAATCTCAAGGATTACATCCCCGAGAATCGTTGAGCGTGTTGGATAGTCAAAGATGCAATCAATGTTGTGGCTACTCGATGAAGACATGGTAAAAGCTCGCCTTTGGGTACCTGAAACAGAAGTGAACATGTGTCAGAGCTAAAAATTTTGGCGACCTATCCACACTTTGCTTTCAGTTCAGGCACCTAGAGTAGCTCGTGTCGAACAACTAACACAAGCGAGCTACTAGGATTCCGGTGGTTGCCACCGTAAACCCTTCTTAAACCCAAAACCACTAGAGACACATAAAAAAACCCTAACAAAGTCCTAAAAAACTCAATGTAGCCACGACAATGGCCACCCTCAATAGCAAAAAGGCATAAAAGTAAGTAAATAAGGGGAAAGAAACCTTACTGAAGTGTAAAGATGGAAGAAACTCGTCGGAAAAGCGTCATAAAAACGAAAGAGCTGCGACAGAATAAGCAAAGAAATTTGAAAACTTTGCAAAGTGTGAAGAAGTTCTAATGAGGTTGCCCGCTTTTATAGTGGTTTGCATGGGAGACGAACAGGCGGGATTCGACCATAGCCGTCGATCTATAGTGAATCTCAGCCCTTCATTCGTCGAGCAATCCTAGCATTTGGACGTGGCCATGTGTCAACCATCCGCAAGGGTCGATCAACCGTCAGACTGCCACAATCATAACCGTCACCGCACATCACTTTAATCTCGCGCGTGGATAGTTGTAGTCGCCCACGCGTAACGAAAAGTAACTGCCAAAGGCTACTGCATTTAATGTGACATGATCGCGTGGAAGTTACACATATACCCCTCATTTCAAATTTCGAGTTTGTCAAGCATATCATAATAGAGGAAAAGCCAAGTGTTGAGTACGTCAACCGAAGATAGGTCCGACTCTTGAAGCTCGACCATACCTACATTCATCACACAACCGATGAAGTCCGAGCTTGATATCAAATCGAGAAATAGTCTTCGAAGTTCGAAACGAGCACCGAACATTAGGGGGTAGATGTTGTGTGTGATTTTTCCATCAAGCTGTTAGGAAGCGATCCAGTTACGCAGCGAAAAACAAAAATTTACAACAATAGATCGTTCCTTAGAACCCAAAATCAAGGCACAAAAATTACAGTTTATACATTATAAAAATCTGCAGAAAATTAGTTTGAAGTTTAGGAACCATACCCACGTTGGAGGCTCCTCCAATTTTATCTTTGAACGTGTTTTGCTACCGACCCAAGTGTAGGATCGAACCGATGAAGTCCATACAAAGACAATCGCAAGGAACTAAAGAGAGATTTGCTAGATCCTCTTTAGCCTTAAGAACAAAGAAGAAAAATCAAAAGAATTTGATTTCAAAGCAAATAAGCAATGTGGCGTGGGAGAAAGTGTTTTTGGGGTTGTGTGTTTTCTTTCTCGATCAAAGAATGAATCAATTAAAAATCACACACACCTTTTTCTTTTATAGTCATATTTTAGTTGCCCTATTCTCTTATGGAATAGGCTTGGGGTCCAACCCAAACACCCCATATTTTCAAACACTCCCAATTAAATATTTATTTTAATTCATCATTATCTTCAATTAAAATCAATTAATATATATTTAATATATATATATATATATATATTAACATTTAACAATAATGATAATTTATTTAAATATATGCGAACACATATTTAAACGTAATTTCACTTATTTAATTTTTCTAATAAATTAAATAAAGGCTACGACCTCAGGAAATTTAATTGCACTGTAAAATTACCAAAATACCCTTTCGCCAAAAAAGACGAAAACGCCATTCTTTGTTTCTGGCTCTTAAATTATCTTCTATGTGTGTGACCCATAGGCTCCTCATCATACCGGCAGTATATAGTATCGCGATTAACACCAATTAATAGTCTCACTAATACACAGACCAAGATTGGCCCCTAGCAAGGCATCATGGCCACTCGATAGATTCGGATTCAGCAAAGTAGCTACCTGTCAACGATATGGTTACCGTACAATTCGATCCTTTCATCATCCGTTATCTCGACGAGACAAAGGCATAGAAATAGTGTCAACCTCCGGTTACTCTCGATATTATATATTCAGTTTCTGGACCAATAACCTGTATTATAATCCGAATAGAGCAACAACTCAATCCCACTGTGGCCACAGTTTTAGTGTCATTGTCATATACTGAATTACGCTGTGAGATAACTTCTCCCATAACCGGGATTGATGAATCTTCTGTCAATCCACCACAGTCTTGATACACTCCTTGATGCAGCCAATCACCACCGTATTGATAGCTCTGAATAGAACTTTGTTAGGCTAGTGCCAAACTGCACCAATCGGTGCACAAGGCGCTCCGGTGATCTCAAGTCTAAGGATCACATGCACCACCATTCATTAGAGGATTTGTTCCATAGACACTAGGGTTACCATCCATATGGAATCCTCTGGTGGGTCAGTCCAGTGAACTTGCTGCAGTGTATTCGCCACCTCTTTCATTACAATTAATGTATTTGTTATGATTTTCTATATCATTCATACAAGAGAATAATGTTTTCTATATCACTCAACAGAGCGGAACTCCTGTGTGCATGGCCCTTTATAGACGAACTCATTGTTGAAGTTACAACTACTAATCCTCGAGCAATCACAATGGTTCATACAATCACTTCCTCAAATGATAATCCCCCAAGATTTAACAGATTCTTCATGAGTTTCCTTGCTCAAAGGAATGGATTTCTCAAGGGTTGTAAGGGAATTATTGGCTTGAATGGTACTCATCTCAAAGGTCCTTACCGAGG